CACATTGCAGTACTCCAGCCTAGAGGTTACAAGGGCACGAGTGACTGTTGTGAGAGCCTCCCGGTTCAGGACTTAATAACATTCCTTATCTAAATCACCATTGCATATGCTCAGTTGTAACTAGTGAAGCAATAAGTCATGTCTAGGTGCACTGTTTGCCATACCAGGATTGGTGAGGTACTTTATTGCATCAACTTTTTTTAAGTACAGAAATTAGACCAAACAGCAGCTAATTTTTACTTTTATGATTTCATTGTTGGGATTTGTGCATATATCTTATTTGAATCTATGTTTTGAATTTATATTACTTCCTTTGGATGAGTTTTAAATGTGGAAAATTAAAATCAAACCTTTGCTGGTTTTTTCCCTTCTTGCTCAGAGTCTGTGGAGTCTGTGCTATCAGCACTGCTGCTCTCAGAACTGCCTGGAGTTGACTTTATTGGTACTGGGGGCACAGTCACTGGTTTCGTAGCTAGAATTTAAAATAATAATATTAATAGATCATTATTACTCAAAAATCAAAGATCAGTTTCTATATTTTATGACAGTGAACAGCTAAGAATTTATAAATCATAAAAAGTAATATAAAGAACTGCTCAGCTCTGGACTGTTTAGAATAAAAACGAAATTTCAGTATAAATCCCAGCACCCACTAATCTAAATCAAGAATACAGTACAATATATAGCATGTTCCATCTAAACAGTGGCAGATGAATATATATAAATTGGTATGGCAAAGGAAAAAGCCATGAGTTAAATGCAAGATATTAAAGATGTGAAGAAAAGATGATCAATCCTACCAGATTTGAAGCTATATTTTGCTGCTTGTTGTTTAATTTGGATGAGTCTGGGGGTTGTTAGAAATTATTGGATTTAGGAAGTCACAATTTGAGATTTGGGTGGCATAGATATTTATGATATGATAAAGTTGAAGTGAATATAGATTTTAGAAACCATTATGTTGGTGGCCAGTGGTTAGGGTGCAGTACTGCAGGCCACTTTAGCTGACTGTGATCTGCAGTTCAGCGGTTCAA